TATGCAGTGTGTTCCTGTATGCAGTGTGTCCCTGTATGCAGTGTCTTCCTGTATGCAGTGTCTTCCTGTATGCAGTGTGTTCCTGTATGCAGTGTGTCCCTGTATGCAGTGTGTTCCTGTATGCAGTGTGTTCCTGTATGCAGTGTGTTCCTGTATGCAGTGTGTTCCTGTATGCAGTGTGTTCCAGTATGCAGTGTGTTCCTGTATGCATTGTGTCCTCCTGTATGCAGTGTCTTCCTGTATGCAGTGTCTTCCTGTATGCAGTGTGTTCCTGTATGCAGTGTCTTCCTGTATGCAGTGTCTTCCTGTATGCAGTGTGTTCCTGTATGCAGTGTGTTCCTGTATGCAGTGTGTTCCTGTATGCAGTGTGTTCCTGTATGCAGTGTGTTCCAGTATGCAGTGTGTTCCAGTATGCAGTGTGTTCCTGTATGCAGTGTCTTCCTGTATGCAGTGTCTTCCTGTATGCAGTGTGTTCCTGTATGCATTGTGTCCCTGTATGCAGTGTGTTCCTGTATGCAGTGTGTTCCTGTATGCAGTGTGTTCCAGTATGCAGTGTGTCCCTGTATGCAGTGTGTTCCTGTGTGCAGTGTGTCCCTGTATGCAGTGTTCCAGTATGCAGTGTGTTCCTGTGTGCAGTGTGTTCCTGTATGCAGTGTCTTCCTGTATGCAGTGTCTTCCTGTATGCAGTGTGTTCCTGTATACAGTGTGTCCCTGTATGCAGTGTCTTCCTGTATGCAGTGTGTTCCTGTATGCAGTGTGTTCCTGTATGCAGTGTGTTCCTGTATGCAGTGTGTTCCAGTATGCAGTGTGTTCCTGTGTGCAGTGTGTTCCTGTGTGCAGTGTCTTCCTGTATGCAGTGTCTTCCTGTATGCAGTGTGTTCCTGTATGCAGTGTGTTCCTGTATGCATTGTGTCCCTGTATGCAGTGTGTTCCTGTATGCAGTGTGTTCCTGTATGCAGTGTGTTCCAGTATGCAGTTTGTCCCTGTATGCAGTGTGTTCCTGTGTGCAGTGTGTCCCTGTATGCAGTGTTCCAGTATGCAGTGTGTTCCTGTATGCAGTGTGTTCCTGTATGCAGTGTGTCCCTGTATGCAGTGTCTTCCTGTATGCAGTGTGTTCCTGTATGCAGTGTGTTCCTGTATGCAGTGTGTTCCAGTATGCAGTGTGTCCCTGTATGCAGTGTCTTCCTGTATGCAGTGTGTTCCTGTATGCAGTGTGTTCCTGTATGCAGTGTGTTCCAGTATGCAGTGTGTTCCTGTGTGCAGTGTGTTCCTGTGTGCAGTGTGTTCCTGTATGCAGTGTGTTCCTGTATGCAGTGTGTTCCTGTATGCAGTGTGTCCCTGTATGCAGTGTGTTCCAGTATGCAGTGTTTTCCTGTGTGCAGTGTGTTCCTGTATGCAGTGTGTTCCAGTATGCAGTGTGTTCCTGTGTGCAGTGTGTTCCAGTATGCAGTGTGTTCCTGTATGCAGTGTGTTCCTGTATGCAGTGTGTCCCTGTATGCAGTGTGTTCCAGTATGCAGTGTTTTCCTGTGTGCAGTGTGTTCCTGTATGCAGTGTGTTCCAGTATGCAGTGTTTTCCTGTGTGCAGTGTGTTCCTGTATGCAGTGTGTTCCAGTATGCAGTGTGTTCCTGTGTGCAGTGTGTTCCAGTATGCAGTGTCTTCCTGTATGCAGTGTGTTCCTGTATGCAGTGTGTTCCAGTATGCAGTGTGTTCCAGTATGCAGTGTGTTCCAGTATGCAGTGTGTTCCAGTATGCAGTGTGTTCCAGTATGCAGTGTGTTCCAGTATGCAGTGTGTTCCAGTATGCAGTGTGTTCCTGTATGCAGTGTTTTCCTGTATGCAGTGTGTCCCTGTATGCAGTGTGTTCCTGTATGCAGTGGGTTCCTGTATGCAGTGTGTTCCTGTATGCAGTGTGTCCCTGTTTGCAGTGTGTTCCTATATGCAGTGTGTTCCTGTATGCAGTGTGTTCCTGTATGCAGTGTGTTCCTGTATGCAGTGTGTTCCAGTATGCAGTGTGTTCCAGTATGCAGTGTGTTCCAGTATGCAGTGTGTTCCAGTATGCAGTGTGTTCCTGTATGCAGTGTGTTCCTGTATGCAGTGTGTTCCAGTATGCAGTGTGTTCCAGTATGCAGTGTGTTCCTGTATGCAGTGTGTTCCAGTATGCAGTGTGTTCCAGTATGCAGTGTGTTCCAGTATGCAGTGTGTTCCAGTATGCAGTGTGTTCCAGTATGCAGTGTGTCCCTGTATGCAGTGTCTTCCTGTATGCAGTGTGTTCCAGTATGCAGTGTGTTCCAGTATGCAGTGTGTCCCTGTATGCAGTGTGTCCCTGTATGCAGTGTCTTCCTGTATGCAGTGTGTTCCAGTATGCAGTGTGTTCCAGTATGCAGTGTGTCCCTGTATGCAGTGTGTTCCTGTATGCAGTGTGTTCCTGTATGCAGTGTGTCCCTGTATGCAGTGTGTCCCTGTATGCAGTGTGTTCCTGTATGCAGTGTGTTCCTGTAT